AAATGGACAATGACCACAAGCAATTTAAAGGCAATGCTACCAAATACTAATTGAGTGTATGTAAACTTCTGACCCACTGGGAATGTGATGAAAGAAATAAAAGCTGAAATGAATCATTCTCTCTACTATTATTCTGACATTTCACATTCTTAAAATAAAGTGGTGATCCTAACTGACCTAAAACAGGGACTTTTTACTAGGATTAAATGTCAGGAATTGCGAAAAACTTAGTTTAAATGTATTTGGCTAAGGTGTATGTAAACTTCCGAATTCAACTGTGTATATATATATATATATATATATATATATACAGTTGAACACTTCACAAAATAGATGGCATCATGAGGAAGGAAAATTATGTGGATATATTGAAGCAAAATCTCAAGACATCAGTCAGGAAATTAAAGCTTGGTCGCAAATGGGTCTTCCAAATGGACAATGACCACAAGCATACTTCCAAAGCTGTGGCAAAATGGCTTAAGGACAACAAAGTCAAGGTATTGGAGTGGCCATCACAAAGCCCTGACCTCAATCCTATAGAAAATGTGTGGGCAGAACTGAAAAAGCGTGTGCGAGCAAGGAGGCCTACAAACCTGACTCAGTTACACCATCTCTGTCAGGACGAACGGACCATAATTCACCCACCTTATTGTGGGAAGCTTGTGGAAGGCTGCCCAAAACATTTGACCCAAGTTAAACAATTTAAAGGCAATGCTACCAAATACTAATTGAGTGTATGTAAACTTCTGACCCACTGGGAATGTGATGAAAGAAATAAAAGCTGAAATAAATACTTTTCTCTACTATTATAATGACATTTCACATTCTTAAAATAAAGTGGTGATCCTAACTGACCTAAGACAGGGAATTTTTACTAGGATTAAATGTCAGGAATTGTGAAAGTTTAAATGTATTTGGCTAAGGTGTATGTAAACGTCCGACTTCAACTGTAGGTCTCATCTGGTGCCATTTAGCCGTTGGTGCTGTTCTTCTGGCAAGTCATGAGAGTAGGACTTAATTACCTCCTAGTCTGAACACAAAAGGCAAGGACACAATGTTATCCAGTGAAACACTGAACAAGGTGGCGGAAGTTCTAATGTTCTTAAGTTCTGAGAGCCCCAGGGAATGGGTGTGGGAAAACTGTGTGGGCCGCCCTGGAATCTCCTCAGAGAGACAGACTACAAGCACTGCACTTTCTCCATGTGGGAAAGCATCCTTTCCTTTGTCATCAGAAATGTCATGAAGAGAGTGTATATTGTTGGAGGGGTACAGCAGGTTGCTGTCTGTGCTGTTGGTCCCTTACTGTACCATCAACTGTGGAGAGTGAGAGAGAGAGAAACAGACAGAGAGACAGAGAGAGAGAGAGAGAGAGAGAGAGAGAGAGAGAGAGAGAGAGAGAGAGAGAGAGAGAGAGAGAGAGAGAGAGAGAGAGAGAGAGAGAGAGAGAGAGAGAGAGAGAGAGAGAGAGAGAGAGAGCTTCACACAGCACTTGAGGCCTTTTAATGGCTTATCAACTCCATGGAATAACGTTGCATGTGATCTTGCAATGCTCTGAATGTCCACAAGAGGACAGCCATGATTGCAATGTAATTTCCCCACATAATTGAATCTATTAGTAGGCTAAAGTTCTTTGAAACATAAAGTCAATGTGTGGATTTTTTATTTTTAATGAAAACAATTTGAGGAGTAGTAGGCTAGAGGCAACTCTATGATTCAAAGTAGTCTAGCAATGAAATGTAGAGAACATTGAGGTAGAGAAATGGTAGATTGCGAAATGGCAACACCCTGAAGGGTTAAGTTTGTCATGAGTGGTGCTCTATAGTGTTCTCCTAGTTCCATTTAGATGCAGACGGAATGATTTGCATGCTCCTGGTTACATTTGACATTTAAGTCATTTAGCAGACGCTCTTATCCAGAGTGAGTTACAGTTAGTGAGTGCATAACTTTTTTTTCATACTGGTCCCCCGTGGGAAACGAACCCACAACCCTGGCATTGCAAACGCCATGCTCTACCAACTGAGCTACACGGGACTGGTTAGTAAGCAGGTTAGCAAAGTGTTCAAAACACAGACAAACATAACAGTAACATTTCGTGAAAATAAAATGTTATCAAGTTGCATGTTGTCTTGGTTGGTTATCGCTCTTCGTGTTTTCGTGCGGTTTTTGAAACAGAAACACGGCCCCTCTGCCTCTGTGTTTCCTGACGCTGCAATACCATGGATGTCAATCAAGAAGACCAGGAGCAAACTGAGCACCAACAACTCCTCTGATGATGTTGAATTAGATCATTCTGAGGAGGAAGACGTTTACTCATCTGCTGATGAACATAATGCTGATAAAGATGATTTGAGTTGGTTTCTTTATTAGTCAGTAACTGGAAGTGAGTGAGAGCTTGTGTACTATTTGGTAATTTAGAAATGTGTAGGCCTAATCTCCATAGTCTAACATTAGCCTACTGTTTACGCAATGTTTTTATACTTCTTGCCAATGAATGTCCACTGGTTGCAAATGCATGTAAACATAAAGCTTCAATTTGCAATACCCCAGGCTTCAGATGAAATCCCAGAATCAACTGGTGTCAGATTTTAATGAGGACCCTGTGAAGTTAGGAGAGTAAGTGAGTGTAGTCTAATATCAAACAAAGTTATAAAGCCATGAAGGTTTATGTTGCACTGCAGTATTGAAATATGTCAATTACCAAAGTGTGTTGAAATGTTTGATTGATTTAGGTCATGTCTGAGATAGAGGATGAGGAGTTGAATACTATCCCCAATAAGGTCTGTCCTACATTTGACATTTTAGTCATTTAGCAGACGCTCTTATCCAAAGCAACTGACAGTTAGTGAGTGCATACATTTTCATACTGGCCCCCCGTGGGAAACGAACCCACAACCCTGGCGTTGCAAGCGCCATGCTCTACCAACTGAGCTACAAGGGACTAGCACTGTAGCCGGTGGTGACATAACAGCACAGGAGGTTGGTGGCACCTTAATTGGGGAGGACTGGCTCGTGGTAATGGCTGGAGCGGAATTAGTGGAATGGTATCAAATACATCAAACACGTGGTTTCCATGGTTTCCATGAATTTGATGCCATTCCATTTGTTCCATTCCAGCCATTATTATGAGCCGTCCTCCCCTCAGCAGCCTCCACTGCCTAACAGACAGTGAGCAACACACTGGTGCGGGTGTGTAAAGACTTATGTGCGTGTGATATATACAGTGCCTTGTAAAAGTATTCATCCCACTTGGCGTTTTTCCTATTTTGTTGCATTACAACCTGTAATTTAAATGGATTTTTATTTGGATTTCATGTAATGGACATACACAAAACAGTCCAAATTGGTGAATTGAAATGAAAAAATTAACTTGTGTCAAAAAATTCCAAAAAATTAATAACGGAAAAGTGGTGCGTGCATATGTATTCACCCCCTTTGCTATGAAGCCCCTAAATAAGATCTGGTGCAACCAATTACCTTCAGAAGTCACATAATTAGTTAAATAAAGTCCACCTGTGTCCAATCTAAGTGTCACATGATCTGTCACATGATCTCAGTATATATACACCTGTTCTGAAAGGCCCCAGAGTCTGCAACACCAATAAGCAAGGGGCACCACCAAGCAAGCGGCACCACGAAGACCAAGGAGCTCTCCAAACAGGTCAGGGACAAAGTTGTGGTGGGTTGGGTTATAAAAAAATATCAGAAACTTTGAACATCCCACGGAGCACCATTAAATCCATTATAAAAAAATTGAAAGAATATGGCACCACAACAAACCTGCCAAGAGAGGGCCGCCCACCAAAACTCACGGATCAGGCAAGGAGGGCATTAATCAGAGAGGCAACAAAGAGACCAAAGATAACCCTGAAAGAGCTGCAAATCTCCACAGCGGAGATTGGAGTATCTGTCCATAGGACCACTTTAAGCCGTACACTCCACAGAGCTGGGCTTTATGGAAGAGTGGCCAGAAAAAAGCCATTGCTTAAAGAAAAAAATTAGCAAACATGTTTGGTGTTCGCCAAAAGGCATGTGGGAGACTCCCCAAACATATGGAAGAATGTACTCTGGTCAGATGAGACTAAAATTGAGCTTTTTGGCCATCAAGGAAACTGCTATGTCTGGCACAAACCCAACACCTCTCATCACCCCGAGAACACCATCCCCATAGTGAAGCATGGTGGTGGCAGCATCATGCTGTGGGGATGTTTTTCATCGGCAGGGACTGGGAAACTGGTCAGAATTGAAGGAATGATGGATGGTGCTAAATACAGGGAAATTCTTCAGGGAAACCTGTTTCAGTCTTCTAGAGATGTGAGACTGGGACAGAGATTCACCTTCCAGCGGGACAATGAACCTAAGCATACTGCTAAAGCAACACTCGAGTGGTTTAATGGGAAACATTTAAATGTCTTGGAATGGCCTAAGTCAAAGCCCAGACCTCAATCCAATTGAGAATCTGTGGTATGACTTAAAGATTGCTGTACACCAGCGGAACCCATCCAACTTGAAGGAGCTGGATAAGTTTTGCCTTGAAGAATGGGCATAAATCCCAGTGGCTAGATGTGCCAAGCTTATAGAGACATACCCCAAGAGACTTGCAGCTGTAATTGCTGCAAAAGGTGGCTCTACAAAGTATTGACTTTGGGGGGGGGGGGGGACGGGGGTGAATAGTTATGCACGCTCAAGGTTTCTGTTTTTTTGTCATATTTCTTGTTTGTTTTACCCCCAAAATTATTTTGCATCTTCAAAGTGGTAGGCATGTTGTGTAAATCAAATGATACAAACCCCTCAAAAAATCAATTTTTATTCCAGATTGTAAGGCAACAAAATAGGAAAAATGCCAAGGTGGTGAATACTTTCGCAAGCCACTGTATGCCCACTAGATGTCAGCCTTGCCTAATCGTAACAAGGCCTATCTTTCTTTTCAGTTTTTATTGGTTAACTTCTCCTCTCCATTCTCCCACACTAACCAGGAGCTGATCAGCAGCCTCCAGAGACAGATGGAAGAGGAGAGGAGGGCCTTTCAGAAGGCGCAGGAGGAAGAGAGGAGGAAGACGCACCAGTCTACCTGCAGGGTGGCCACCACTATCCAGGCTGCCCTCAGAGGCCTCCTGGCATGCCGTTCCTGGCATGCCGTTGGATATGGGTTGAGCTCCACCACAGAAGAGAGGAACAGAGGAGGTAGGAGGAGGAGGAGGATGAAGGAGAGAACAGGAGGAACAGCGGCTGAATCAAATCCAATCACATTTATTTATAAAGGCCTTTTTACATCAGCAGATGTCACAAAGTCCAAGTCCAAGATTCTAGCATCCGTATTTAGCACTAACTGAAGTTTATTTAGTGCTCTATATGGGTAGCCGGAGAGTAGAGCATTGCAGTAGTCTAATCCAGAAGTGACAAAAGCATGGATTAGCTTTCATGCATCATTTTTGGACAAAAAGTTTCTGATTTTTGCAACGTTACGAAGATGGAAAAAAGCTGCTCTTCAAATATTCTTGATATGTTTGTCAAAAGAGAGATCAGGGTCCAAAGTAATGCCGAGGTCCTTCACAGTTTTATTTGGGACGACTGTACAACCATCAAGATTAATTGTCAGATCAAGCAGCAGATCTCTTTGCTTCTTGGGACCTAAAACTAGCATCTCTGTTTTGTCCGAGTTTAAAATAGAAAGATTGCCGCCATCCACTTCCTTATGTCTGAAACACAGGCTTCCAAGGTAGGCAATTTTGGGGCTTCACCATGTTCATCGAAATGTACAGCTGTGTGTTGTCCGCATAGCAGTAAAAGTTGACATTGTGTTTCCGAATGACCACCAAGAGGTAGAAAACAATAGTGGTCTGTGATGGAAATGTTAATGTTGGTGCTTTTCTATTCTTTACATTTCTATGTTTGTGCTTTTCTATAAACCAATTTCTGTGTTCATTCAGGTGACTGACTGAACGAATCCTCACTATCAGTAGCTGCAATTTGGCAGTATGCCCAGACATTTGTTTTGAGAACGGAAGATGTCTCAGTTCCAAGGTCCCAGCTTAGAGAGAAGAAGCCTCGTGAGGTATTGGTCTGTCACATGTTATGAACCAGTATTGGTCTGTCACATGTTATGAACCAGTATTGGTCGGTCACATGAATGAAACAAAACACTAATGATGAATGAATTATGCAAATATATCTTGTCTGTGTATAGCCGTATACAAGACAACTGCTGGGACTGCCCCAGCAGAGCTCCTGGTCGACATTACATTTTAGTCATTTAGCAGACGCTCTTATGAGTGGATACATTTCCATACTGGCCCCCCATGGGAAACGAACCCACAACCCTGGCGTTGCAAGCGCCATGCTCTACCAACTGAGCTACAGGGGACCACTGCCACTGCGCGTTGACAATAGACAATGCTTCATTTAAGATTGACTTCGAGTGTCCCTAGTGGTAATTTCCACGACGTTGTATAGAATTTCCACCACAGGTCTTAAAACGGAACCTTGAGGAACACCGAAACGTACCATTGATTTGTCAGAGGACAAACCATCCACAGAGACAAACTGATATCTTTCTGACAGATAAGATCTAAACCAGGCAAGAACTTGTTCGTGTAGACCAATTAGGGTTTCCAATCTCTTCAAAAGAATGTGGTGATCGATGGTGTCAAAAGCGACACTAAGGTCTAGGAGCACAGATGCAGAGCCTTGGTCTGACTCCATTAAAATATAATTTACCATCTTCAGGAGTGCAGTCTCTGTACTATGATGGGGTCTAAAAACAGACTGGAGTGTTTCGTATACATTATTTGTCTTCAGGAAGGCAGTGAGTTGCTTCTTAACAGCTTTTTCTTAAACATTTTAGAGGAATGGGAGATTCGATATAGGTCGATAGTTTTTTACATTTTCCGGGTCAAGGTTTGGCTTTTCAGGAGAGGCTTTATTACCGCCACTTTTAGTGAGTTTGGTACACATCCGGAGGATAGGGAGCCGTTTATTATTGTGAACATAGGAGGCCCAAGCACAGGAAGTAGCTCTTTCAGTAGTTTAGTTGGAATAGGGTCCAGTAGGCAGCTGGAAGGTACAGGATTAAAAAGCTTGAGTGACTCCATTGATCCTAGGTCCTGGCAGTTCTGTGCAGACTCAGGAGAACTGCATTTTGAAGAAATGAGCAGATTCAAAGAGGATTTATTTTCATCTAAGAAGTTTATAAATTCATCACTGCTGAAGTGAAGGCCATCCTCACTTGGGGAATGCTGCTTTATAGTTAGCTTTACGACAGTATCAAAAATGCATTTTGGATTGTTTTTATTCTCCTCAATTAGGTAGAAAAGGTAGGCTGATCGAGCAGCAGTGGGGGCTCTTCGATATTGCACGGTCCTGTCTTTCCAGTTTGGTGGAGCGCCATTTCCGTTCCAATTTTCTGGGAGCTTGCTTCAGGGCTCTGATATTTTCTGTGTACCAGGGAGCTAATTTCTGCATCTAGGGTATTACGCAAGTTTAAATTTAGATTCTAGGTTAGGTGGTTAACTGATTTTTGTACTTCAACGTCCTTGAGTAGGTGGAGGGAGTCTGGAAGGGCATCTAGGAATCTTTGGGTTGTCCGAGAATGTATAGGGCAGCTTTTGATAATCCTTGGTTGGGGTCTGAGCAGATTATTTGTTGAGATTGCAAACGTAATAAAATAGTGGTCCGATAGTCAAGGATTATGAGGAAAAACATTTAGATCGACATTATTCATTCCACAGGACAAAATTAAATCCAGGGTATGACTGTGGAAATGCGTAGGTCTGGAGACATGTTGGACAAACCCCAATGAGTCGATGATGGCTCCGAAAGCCTTTTAGAGTGGGTCTGTGGACTTTTCCATGTGAATATTGAAGTCACCAATATGAATGTATCTCTGCCAGAGCAGACAGAGCAGAGGAGACTGGCCTGGATGAGGGACTGCACCCCATGGTCCAAACTCTCCCTGCAGAACAAGAGGAAGCACCAGCAGCAGGGGGGGCAGGACCCAGGAGAGGAAGGAGGGCCGCTGAGGGGAGTGGTTTACGTCCCCCTCTACCCCCACAAACTCCTTCAGTCTGGGGCCCGGAACTCCCTTCAGGAGGGAACCTGCATGATATGATCTAAAATGTGATACTCTTTATTTCATAAAGGTTCCTTCCGGAAAAATAAGTTATGTTTTAGTTGTGCTTGGTTTAGCTTGGACTTTTCACCTTTTTTTATTCTTCCATTGTACAGGGCAAACTAGAAGTAGGATACTAGACTACAAGTAGGATATTTAAATGTATTTGGCCTAGATGTATTAAACCCACGTCTGCAAAACAGTCAATCAGACAAAAACAAAAAACCAACAAACCAGCCATAAAAAAAACAAAAGCAACTTTTTACTGACTGGGCTCTACATGTAGCTTCTCATGCAGGTGACCACAGTTGTTCTTGTCCCAATGCCCCAGACTGCAGTCTCTCAACATGAGACGGTGTGGGCTTACATCCCTAGAGGGCCTCAGTCAATGCACAGAGCTCCGCTACATTGATGTACATGTAAATACACCACCCACATGCTGTATAAGCTACAGCACCATTCTAATGACACTGAAAGCCAGAAAATGTTTTACACTGATACATTACTATATAGTACAAGCATACGCTGCATACTTTATCTGTGTTATATAGTATATTTTATTGTGTACTATTGTTATATTAGCTACATACAACACCTCATACTATCCCTCACAGTGATCAAATGAGCATGTGAAAATATAAAATCTTTGGAATTTGAAACTCGAACATGCTTTGAATGTCATGCCTGTGCAGGACAACTCGATTATGTTTGTGGACTGTGAGAATCTGGCTAACCTCAGAGTTCTTCTACTGGGTCGGAACTGTCTGACATCCATCCAGCTGATGCTGTGAACCTGGACATTCTGGAGCTCTACCACAACTCCATCACCCACATAGGTAAGCTGAGCTCAGGATCCCTCTAAATTAAACTTTAAATAGCCACTTTATACCTCAAATTCACTATCTCCAGCATCACACCAGAGTTGACATATGTGAAACATAGTGATTTTATATGTTTTGAAGTAAAAAAGATTAGATGGAAAGATGCTAAGAAAACTAACCATTATGATGTCTCTGGTTGTGACCACTGCTGTCCACTAGAGAACAGTATATCTCTTATTTTGCAGCCTCTGGACTTAGTCTCCACTCCACTCACTGCTGCTGCTCAATAGGTATTGAAATGTGACTTCCTAAACGTGAATAGCAGACCAGGAGTCAGGCCTCAGGTCATGAATTAATATTACCTGCCTGACAAGACCATCAATGCTTTTTTATTGGCAGTTTAGCCTTCAATGCTACTAAAACGTTCAACTTGGCCCCTGCACTGAAATTAGATCTTTGCTTCATATTAATTCTACTTCAGCCCTTTCTTCACGCAATCTAATTTTGTCCTTATACTCTTTGGGTATGCAACTGAAACATCAACATGTCATTATCTACTACACAATAAAAACAAATGGTTCAATAAAGTCCCATTTAAGGGTTATTTGGCTCGTAACGATAGCAGATCACGTTTTGGTGCTATATAGAACCCTTTTTTGAAGGTTCTATAAAGAACCATGCTCATACGATTCTAAGTGGAACCTTTATTTTGCAATAAAGAACCCCTTCCTAAGGTTCTATGAAGAACTATTAAAAAAAGGTTCTATATAGCACCAAAAAGGGTTCCGCTATTGTTACAACCCTTTTTGATGCTGTATGCAGCGGTTCCCAAACTTTTTCACTCAGGCCCCCCTTCCAACATTGGGAAATATTTTGCAGGTTTAAAGCTTATTTCCTGCAATTCTACACATTTGCCATGGGGTGCAGAGAACATTTTGCAGTTTTAAAGCTAATTTTCTTGCAATTCTATACATTTTGCCATGTCTAATGTGTATTCGTGTTATATTTGAGTGACTCAAATATTACAAAATCTATGGGCAAAAAAAAACTAGCTAAAAAAACGTTAGCTGACATGAGCTTGTTGATCTGGACATTTCTGACAAGTTATAAATAGCTCTCTAAGGTATGCAATGACTGACATGACAAGAGGAAAACTGATGATGCACTACTCCATTTCAAAATTGCATTCCTTGTGCATTCTAGTATTACAACTTTCAAGAGTAAGTTGAAAGCTGTAATGACTTCCTTAAAAAAAGGTTTGGGAACCACTGCTGTATAGAACCCTTTTAAATATTATTTTTATATAACCTTCATGAAGACATCATCACTGGCCATAGTCATATTTTACATGACATTACACAACAGATTAGATAAACTGGAATGACACTCTCACTCACGGTTGCACAAAAAGCGCTGTGATCAAACCACACCCCAAAATATTCCACTGCACCTCCGCCCCTACTTTTTAATTATCACTAAAAGAGAAAAAAAACTTTTGTGAACGGCAAAGAACCATTGAAGGTCTCAAAGGGTTCTTTGAGTAATTATGGTTCCACATAGAACCATCACCCTTCCCACAGAAACCTTGAGGAACCCTCATTTCTTAGTGTGTATTTATAGAACAATTTACTTTAAATTAACAATAAAATCTTCTTCTTCTTCATTTAAGAGGGTCTGGAGCCATTGAAGAGGCTGCAGAAGTTATTTCTGAACCACAACCAGCTGATCAGTACTAGAAGACTGAGAGAGGTGTACACGCTGCTACACCTGGACCTGTCTCACAAATATCTGTCCAGTGTAGAAAGCCTGGACAACTGCTCTACTCAACACACTGGACCTGACGGGAAACAATCTCACTGAGGTAAAATACATAGTCAGCATATCAATGATCAATGATCAGTCGTGAAGAGGGCACGACAAAGACTATTCCCCCTCAGGAGACTGAAAAGATTTGGCATGGGTCCTCAGATCCTCAAAAAATTCTACAGCTGCACCATCGAGAGCATCCTGACTGGTTGCATCACCGCCTGGTATGGCAACTGCTTGGCCTCCGACCGCAAGGCACTACAGAGGGTAGTGCGTACGGCCCAGTACATCACTGGGGCCAAGCTTCCTGCCATCCAGGACCTCTATACCAGGCGGTGTCAGAGGAAGGCCCTCAAAATTGTCAAAGACTCCAGCCACCCTAGTCATAGACTGTTCTCTCTGCTACCGCACGGCAAGCGGTACCGGAGTGCCAAGTCTAGGTCCAAAAGACTTCTCAACAGCTTCTACCCCCAAGCCATAAGACTCCTGAACAGCTAATCATGGCTACCCGGACTATTTGCGCTGCCCCCCCACCCCATATTTTTACGCTGCTGATACTCTGTTAATTATTTATGCATAGTCACTTTAACTCTACCCACATGTACATATTACTTCAGCTACGTCAACTAGCCGGTGCCCCCGCACATTGACTCTGCACCGGTACCCCCCTGTATATATAGCCTCCCTACTGTTATTTTATTTTACTTCTGCTCTTTTTTTCTCAACACTTTTTTGTTGTTGTTTTTTATTTTACTTTTTTATTAAAAATAAATGCACTGTTGGTTAAGGGCTGTAAGTAAGCATTTCACTGTAATGTCTGCACCTGTTGTATTCGGCGCATGTGGCCAATAAAATTTGATTTGATTTGGAATGATAGTTAAGACCATGTGGGCCTAAATACCAGGGAAGTACTAGATTAAACCAACCATGGTGTAAAATAAAGTGCTACCGACATTACTCCTGCATGATGGATTACAGTAGATGGATAGTTTTAGACACCCAGCAGTAGTTTGTTCTTCCTGACCCACTCACACTCACAGCAGCTTTCTGCTGAAGGCCGGCACCAATGAGTTGAAACGCACAGCAGGACTAAAACGGCTGACATTGACGAATTGGAGGCACTTAAGTGGTAAAGCACCAGTAGTGGCTGTCAGTAACAGGTTGAAGTACCCAGCATGGCTAGGGAAACTAACTCTCTCTCTCTCTCTCTCTCTCTCTCTCTCTCTCTCTCTCTCTCTCTCTCTCTCTCTCTCTCTCTCTCTCTCTCTCTCTCTCTCAGCCACCCAGTCTGAGAAACCAGGTCCTCCTGGTGGAGCTTTGTCTGGAGGACAACAGCATCTCCTCACTGGAGGGCCAGACTGCCTGCTGGCTCCCCCTGATGCAGCTCCTCTCTGGGGCCCTAAACAGGTAACATCACATGGCATGTCACCTAATGCTAATGTAGCCAATGTTAATGGCCATTATTATTATTTTTTGTAATATTTTTGTTTTACTGTACTAGTTAAGTAATTCAGTGTTTGTAATAAATGTGTGTTTTTAAGAAAAACAATGTAATATTGCTGAATCCTCAGTAAATATTACATGTAGTCCCGTGTAGCTCAGTTGGTAGAGCATGGCGTTTGCAACGCCAGGGTTGTGGGTTCGTTTCCCAAGAGGGGGCCAGTATGAAGAAAAAAAACAAAAACTAATTGTAAGTTGCTCTGGATAAGAGTGTCTGCTAAAATGTATGTATTTATTAATGTTTTACACTATAACCCAACTAGTAAAAGGTATAAGCTGACGCACACGCCACATCTTTTCTAGAGTTGCTGACTAACAGAGAGTAAACTATAAAAATAAAGAAAGTCACACACTCTTATTATGCTCCCAAACAATTAATGTATATAGCAACCTGTCACCTCCCCCAGGTAGACCTGTTGTAGCAGCAATTGACTCAATGACATCTAACATTTCCAAGTTCATGGATCATCATATCAAACCAATGGTTGAGAATCTCCCATCACATGTCAAAGACACTAGTCACATGATCTCATTGGTGGAGGGGCAAAGTGCCAGAGGGCACCTTATTGGCCACTTTTGATGTGGAGAGCTAGTACACCAACATCCCACACATTTGAGGTCTAAAAGCGCTACAAAACTTACTCCAACAGAGAGACCCTACCCTTGCTCCAGCCAATGAATGCATCCTGCGACTCACTTAACTGGTATTATCCAACAACTACTTCGTTTTTTAGTCACTTTTTTCTTCTGATTATGGGTGTGGCCATGGGCTACCCCTTTGCCCCCAACTATGCTAATCTATATGTGGGACAATTTGAGGAAGAGCTCATTTACAAAACAGAGACACACCCCCTCCTGTCTAAAATCCTCCTGTGGAAGAGATACATAGATTAAGTCTTTGTCCTTTGGGGAGAAAGTCAGAAGGAGCTAAATTAATTCCACACTCTGCTAAATGAGAGCTCCGGATATCTCAAATTCATCATGCATCATTAAAGAAAATGACACATTGCACACTGACTTGTACACAAAGCCCACAGACCGCAACACAGTATGCATCCCCTCCCACCCAAGAATGGTTTACCATATAGACAGTTTTGTAAGGTGGCCAACAGTCCGATTTTGACACCAATGCTATGAAAATGTCTGACAAATTCAAAATGAGAGCCTACAAGGACAAAACTCTTACTGATGCAATGGTGAAAATATCTCAAAGACCAAGCCAAAAAAGAAAAACAAAGCAACAGTCTTTTGCACGAAGTACACCAAGTGCTCAGAGAAAATGAAAGCTATCCTGAAAAAACATTGGTGTATTCTGCAATCGGACAAAAAAATAGCACACATTTTACAGGAACCCCCCTTGGTGGTCTACAAGCAAGGGCGCAACATTTAGGACAGCTTAGTAAGAACAGATCTGCCCCCTGAGCCCACTCAGACACTATTGGCACCCATCCCAAATGGGAATTGCAAATGTGGTTCATGCGCAAAATGCAACAGCATCACAAAAACATCCTTCTTCAGATACTTGCATACAGACCGAAAAAATCCCTGTAAGGGGTGTCATCTCATGTAAGACAAAGGGGGTCATCTATCTCATCATCTGTTTGTGCAGTAAAGCTTACGTTGGGCAAATGAAAAGACAATTAAAACAACGAATTGCTGAACACTTTGTTAAAGCTAACCATCCTATCTCCTCCATCAAATTCACAGGTATAGAGCATGTTACTCTACCAAGGAGAGGAGGTAACATTGAGACCCTTCTACTACTAGTAGGTTGAATATTGACTTTGATCTCAGGCCCTTTCTATTAACCTTTCAACTCAAATATTTTTTCCCCACAGCTTATTAGCTTACATTGCATATCATGTCAATGTAAATAGTCTGGGTAGCCATGATTAGCTGTTCAAGAGTCTTATGGCTTGGGGGTAGAAGCTGTTAAGGAGCCTTTTGGACCTAGACTTGGCGCTCAAGTACCGCTTGCCGTGCGGTAGCAGAGAGAACAGTCTATGACTTGGGTGACTGGAGTCGTTGACAATTTTTTGGGCCTTCCTCTGACTTCGCCTAGCATATATGTCCTGGATGGCAGGAAGCTTGGCCCCAGTGATGTACTGGGCCGTACGCACTACCCTCTGTAGCGCCTTACGGTCGGATGCCGAGCAGTTGCCATACCAGGTGGTGATGCAACCGGTCAGGATGCTCTCGATGGTGCAGCTGTAGAACTTTTTGAGGATCTGGGGACCCATGCCAAATTGTTTCAGTCTCCTGGGGGGTAAAAGGTGTTGTCGTGCCCTCTTCACAACTGTCTTGGTGTGTTTGGACCAATATAGTTTGTTGTTGATGTGGACACCAAGGACCTTTAAACTCTTGACCCGCTCCACTACAGCCCCGTCGATGTGAATGGGGGCATGTTCAGCCCTCCTTTTCCTGTAGTCCATGATCAGCACTTTTGTCTTGCTGACGTTGAGGGAAAGGTTGTTGTCCTGGCACCACACTGCCGGATCTCATCATTGTCGGTGATCAGGCCTACCACTGTTGTGTCGTCAGCAAACTTAATGATGGTGTTGGAGTCGTGCTTGGCCACGCAGTCGTGGGTGAACAGAGAGTACAGGGGGGACTAAGCACGCACACCTGAAGGGCCCTCGTGTTGAGGATCAGCGTGGTAGATGTGTTGTTGCCTACCCTTAACACCTGGAAGTGGCCCGTCAGGAAGTCAAGGATCCAGTTGCAGAGGGAGGTGTTTAGTCCCAGGGTCCTTAGATTAGTGATGAGCTTTGTGGGCACTATGTGGTTGAACGCTGAACTGTAGTCAATGAACAGCATTCTCACATAGGTGTTCCTTTTGTCCAGGTGGGAAAGGGCAGTGTGGAGTGCGATTGAGATTGCTTCATCTGTGGATCTGTTGGGGTGGTATGCAAATTGGAGTGGGTCTAGGGTTTCCGGGATGATGGTGTTGATGTGAGCAATGACCAGCCTTTCAAAGCACTTCATGACTACCGACGTGAGTACTACAGGGCTGTAGTCATTTAGGCAGGTTACCTTCACTTTCTTTGGCACAGGGACTATGGTGGTCTGCTTGAAACATGTAGGTATTACAGACTCGGTCAGGAAGAGGTTGAAAATGTCAGTGAAGACACTTGCCAGTTGGTTCGAACGTGCTCTAAGTTCACTTCCTGGTAATCTGTCTGGCCCGCGGCCTTGTGAATGTTGACCTATTTAAAGGTCTTGCTCACATCGGCTGCGGAGAGCGTGATCACACAGTCGTCCTGAACAGCTGGTGCTCTCATGCATGCTTCAGTGTTGCTTGCCTCGAAGCGAGCATAAAAGTCATTTAGCTCGTCTGGTAGGCTCGCATCACTGGGCAGCTCGCGGCTGTGTTTCCCCTTGTAGTCCGTGCCACATCTGAGGAGCGTCAGAGCCGGTGTAGTAGGATTCAGTCTTAGACCTGTATTGACGCTTTGCCTGTTTGATGGTTAATCTGAGGGCATAGCATAATTTCTTATAAGCGTCCGGATTAGTGTGCTGCTCCTTGAAAGCGGCAGCTCTTTAGCTCGGTGGGGATGTTGCTCGTAATCCATGGCTTCTGGTTAGGATATGTACGTACGGTAACTGTGGGGACGACATCGTTGATGCACTTATTGATGAAGCCGGTGACTGAGGTGGTATACTCCACAATGCCATTGGATGAATCCTGGAACATATTCCAGTCTGTGCTAGCAAAAACTGTCCTGTAGCGTAGCATCCATGTCATCTGACCACTTCCGTATTGAGCGAGTCACTGGTACTTCCTGCTTTAGTTTTTGCTTGTAAGCAGGAATCAGGAGGATAGAATTATGGTCAGATTTGCCAAATGGAGGGCGAGGGAGAGCTTTGTATGCATCTCTGTGTGTGGAGTAAAGGTGGTCTAGAGTTTTTTTCCCCCTCTGGTTGCACATGTGACATGCTGGTAGAAATGAGGTAAAACGGATTTAAGTTTGCCTGCATTAAAGTCCCCGGCCACTAGGAGCGTCACTTCTGGATGAGCATTTTCTTGTTTGCTTATGGCCTTATACAGCTTGTTGAATGCGGTCTTAGTGCCAGCATCGGTTTGTGATGGTAAATAGACGGCTACGAAAAGTATAGATGAAAACTCTCTTGGTAGATAGTGTGGTCTACAGCTTATCATGTGGTACTCTACCTCAGGCGAGCAATACATCGAGACTTCGTTAATATTAGACATCGCGCACCAGCTGTTATTGACAAATAGACACACACCCCCACCCCTCGTCTTACCAGACGTAGCTGTTCTGTCCTGCCGATGCACGGAAAACCCAGCCAACTTTATATTATCCGTGTTGTCATTCAGCCACGACTCGGTGAAACATAAGATATTACAGTTTTTAATGTCCCGTTGGTAGGATAGTCTCGAAGGGAGATCATTCAGTTTACTTTCCAGTGATTGCACGGTGGCCAATAGAACGGACGGTAGAGGCGGGTTACCCACTTGCCGACGAATTCTCACAAGGCACCCCCGATCTCCGCCCCCTGTATTTCCGTCTTTTCTTCACTCAAATGACCGGGATTTGGGCCTGGTCTCAGAGAAGCAGTATATCCTCCATGTCGGACTCATTAAAGAAACAAATCTTCTTCCAGTTCGAGGTGAGTAATCGGTGTTCTGATGTCCAGAAGCTCTTTTCGGTCATAAGAGACGGTAGCAGCAACATTATGTTCAAAATAAGGTACAAACAATGCGAAAAAACACACAACTTAGCAGAGTTGTTTAGGAGCCCGTAAAACGGCCGCCATCCTCTCCTGTACCATTATTATAGCATCTTGAAATGCTGTAAAATACACGTTTTTTAACAGTTCCACTTTTTCATCCCTCATTATCTTAATTACTATGACACACCCCTCACTGTGTTCATTGGCTGCACTAATTGCACTGTTTGTCTACATAACCACCCTTGTTTCTGGGAAACCATACACAACATGAATCATTTGCTTACAGAGGCAGTTTGGAACTCGGTAGTGAGTGTTGCAACTGAGGACAGACGATTTTTACCGTTCTGTGAGCTTGTGTGGCCTACCACTTTGCGGCTGAGCCGTTGTTGCTCCTAGACGTTTCCACTTCACAATAACATTACATACAGTTGACCGGGGCAGCTCTAGCAGGGCAGAAATTTGACAAGCTGACTTGTTGGAAAGGTGGCATCCTATGATGGTGCCACGTTGAAAGTCACTGAGCTCTTCAGTAAGGCCATTCTACTGCCAATGTTTGTCTATGGAGATTGCATGGCGGTGTGCTCGATTTTATACACCTGTCAGCAACGGGTGTAGCTGAATAGCCTAGATACTAATTTGAAGGGGTGTCCACATACTTTTGTATATATAGTGTATCTTTGTTAGAAAGAATACTATATTTCCCTTGACGTAGTGATGCTGAATGTAAAAAATTGCTCAACTTACCCCACTCTCCCCTACTGTTGTTTCCTGGTATGTGTAAACAGTTTCCATTGTCGTAGCCGGCCGCGACCGGGAGACCCATGGGGCGGCGCACAATTGGCCCAGCGTCGTCCAGGGTAGGGGAGGGAATGGCCGGCAGGGATGTAGCTCAGTTGGTAGAGCATGGCGTTTGCAACGCCAGGGTTGTGGGTTCGATTCCCACGGGGGGCCGGTATGAAAAAAAATAAAATAAAATAAAATAATAATAATGTATGCACTCACTAACTGTAAGTCGCTCTGGATAAGAGCGTCTGCTAAATGACTAAAATGTAAAAATGTAAAAATATCATTCTGCTATGTGCCTTTCTATGTGAGTGGTTGGATGTCTTTTAAGTGTGAATCTATGGTAATGCATTTGTGTCTATGGTATGAATGCCACACTGGGAAATGCAATGCACCTCCATCAAGTAAATGTCAGGGGATCCAGGCAGTAGATAAAGATACAGTCTTCACAACAAGATAAGACACCAGCGATAGTGAGATATAGAGAGTGAAAACCATAAGTGTAGGGCTCTGCCTAAAGCCCAGGACGCTGCTCTTCCTCTGTGTGTTGTAAAACCTGAAGCTCAGGCCTGTGTTGCTCTGCCTGTCTGTGTGTTGTAGAGCTGCAGAACCTGTGTGAGAGCCTGGAGGGATGTCCACTCCTCATAGAGGTCCACCTCACTGGGAATCCCCTTCAGCAAGAGATCAGCTGGAAACACAGAATACGTTTGGGCAACAAACCCTAGGCCCTGGGGTTGCATGTTTCTGTGGTAGAGAGTAATGTTGTCATACAAACAAAAACATATACGGTACATATACGGTAACACTGTACATGGATGCTCGGTCATAACGGCTACATGCATCCACTGTCATCAACATGGCAAGGATTAGTTTAAAAATGACTTTAAAATGGTAGCGGAGAGAGACGGACACCAATTTCTCTAGCTTCTCTGTTCTGGAATATTACTGCTGGTGCAGATATGAGAAGTAATGTTACATACAAACAGAAAGCCAAGCCACTGCCATATTTCGGAGGAGGATGTTGCCTGAGGTGACTTCTGTATCGCTGAAGTTCAGCATTATAGTCTGATTGAAATTTAAAGGTTTCCGCGTTAGTGGAGACTGCATTCACGGTAAACGCTGCATATGTCGACTCAATAGGAAATTACCTTTACATTTCGGTCGCACCCTAAGGTAGAATAAACATTCCATCTGAACACCGGGTCTTCCTGTCATTAGTGGTTTTAGAAGTTTATGACTGACAATCCATGTATAACTTTTATGCAGTGTGAAATGGCAAATATTTTAAAATGTTAAGGTCTTCTAGTCATAATATTGGCCTAGATGATGCCAGGATCCCTCAAGAACTATTATGACAGGATGTATATACTACTCTTTCCCAAACCCAGGTCATGTTAAAAACATGCCACTGAGCAAACACTTAAAATAACCATGATTAACACACATATTTTCCTTTGCCTTTTCCTCTACTGTATAGGCCTACCTGAATCTTGTTTTCCAAACAAATGTGTTCTTCTATTCAACTAGTACCAGTACTGTAGACACATGATGACACATTGTGCATTCTGTCTACATACATTTTTGCAGTCAACACCCACCCAGACAAATGGGTTGCTTTTACCTGGGGTGCCCCACCGTTAGTCAGAATATTCCCAATGAACTTTACCTAACCTCCAATGCCAACAGTGGAATTACCCCCCTGTATTTCCCGACTCTTCCCCTGGCCCTTTCATCCAGGTCCAGTAATAACACCGGCTAAACTAAAGCTTCAAAAGGAGATTGCTAAGAATTAAACTTCCAGCAGTCCTCATCCAGGAGAAGAACAAAGCACTCAGCCTGATTAATCAGACCTCTTTAAGAGCCTGTTTTTTCTAGGAAGTCTTCACTAAATGAAATTTACGAAGCCAGGTTAGGTTAGGTTAGGTTAGGTTAGGTTAGGTTAGGTTAGGTTAGCTAGGACCAGGATGGAACACTAGTCTGTTCCCTAGTAAGAGAGAGAAGGAGATGAATGTTCCGCTATAGATGCATATACAGTAAGACATTTATTAAAATGAGCCAAGCAGGTCAAATTTCTCAGCTTTCTGACATCTTTGAAACTCATTTCCTGAGTTCTTTAATTCGAACCTTGTACATTAAACACGAATAACCAGTGACACATAAATACAAACCATGTTGATTTCCACCCAAGAACATTTAGCTAGTGTCATTCATGGAAGGCATTATGTGTGTCATGACTTGTGCCCACTTCAATGAGCTCATGTGACGATCAAAGCTTTATTATGGTTTTTGCTTCATTACAAGGGGGTCCGGTCTGCCAGACAACAAGCCTGTAGGGCTGGAATCTAATCCTTGTTTGTGTGAGAGGGGTGAGGTGGGGCTCATCAAAAACCCATTTCCGTGACTATGCACTGCATAGCTTGTGACCTAGTACTACAGTCATTTATGTAGCACATGGGGGTTCAGGTGGTTATTTTCATTAGTTTTCTTTTTACAAACACAATTTGCAACTCAATTTTACATAAAAATATTTTATAATGACTGATACTTACAGCTGCCAGTATCATTACGCATTATTCAGATTATCACAGCAAACAAATTTAAGCCTAATCCTACTTTATCAATTAGCTGCATTTGTAAACTGTCAGTCTGTAATACTGGAAGCGTTTCCTAATACGTTTCTTTTTACATTTTCACATTGGCATAGATCGACCACATTTGGCCATGCAGTTTGCTTTGGAGACCATTTTCTCTGCTGGCAGATTTTGGGGATTCCTCGGCTTGAACATCCTTAGCCTCAGACCACTGTTACTTTTCTCAGATAGGGACTTTAAGTATAACAGCCATCCCCCTCACAGGCCACAGGCCACCATCAGATGTTTCAGCTTAAGGCTGCATCCCAAATGGCACGCTATTCACATCTCCTCTAATGAAAGAGTGGCGCATTGGTCTAAGGCACTGCATCTCAGTGCTTGAGGCGTCACTACAGACCCCCTGGTTCGATTCCAGGCTGTATCACAACCGGCCGTGATTGGGAGTCCCATAAGGGAGGCGCACAATTGGCCCACCGTCGTCCAGGTTTGGCCGGTGTAGGCCGTCATTGTAAATAAGAATTTGTTCTTAACTGACTTGACTAGTTAAATAAAGGTAAAACAAATAAGAGTCAAAGTAGTGCACTACATAGGAAATAGGGTGCCATTTGTGATGTAGGCTAACTCATTCATGGTTCAGCTCTAAAGATTAAAAAAATAAATGTGTGTGTGTATATAAAGTGGGGAGAACAAGTATTTGATACACTGCCGATTTTGCAGGTTTTCCTACTTACAAAGCATGTAGAGGTCTGTAATTTTTATCATAGGTACACTTCAACTGTGAGAGATGGAATCTAAAACAAAAATCCAGAAAATCACATTGTATGATTTTTAAGTAATTAATTTGCATTTTATTGCATGACATACGTATTTGATCACCTACCAACCAGTAAGAATTCCGGCTCTCACAGACCTGTTAGTTTTTCTTTAAGAAGCCTTCCTGTTCTCCACTCATTACCTGTATTAACTGCACCTGTTTGAACTCGTTACCTGTATAAAAGACACCTGTCCACACACTCAATCAAACAGACTCCAACCTCTCCACAATGGCCAAGACCAGAGAGCTGTGTAAGGACATCAGGGATAAAATTGTAGACCTGCACAAGGCTGGGATGGGCTACAGGACAATAGGCAAGCAGCTTGGTGAGAAGGCAACAACTGTTGGCGCAATTATTAGAAAATGGAAGAACTTCAAGATGACGGTCAAACACCCTCAGTCTGGGTCTCCATGCAAGATCTCACCTCGTGGGGCATCAATGATCATGAGGAAGGTGAGGGATCAGCCCAGAACTACACGGCAGGACCTGGTCAATGACCTGAAGAGAGCTGGGACCACAGTCTCAAAGAAAACCATTAGTAACACACTACGCCGTCATGGATTAAAGTCCTGTAGCGCACGCAAGGTCCCCCTGCTCAAGCCAGCGCATGTCCAGGCCCGTCTGAAGTTTGCCAATGACCATCTGGATGATCCAGAGGAGGATTGGGAGAAGGTCATGTGGTCTGATGAGACAAAAATAGAGCTTTTTGGTCTAAACTCCACTTGCCGTGTTTGGAGGAAGAAGAAGGATGAGTACAACCCCAAGAACACCATCCCAACCGTGAAGCATGGAGGTGGAAACATCATTCTTTGTATCGCGAGATCTTGGCCAACAACCTCCTTCCCTCAGTAAGAGCATTGAAGATGGGTCGTGGCTGGGTCTTCCAGCATGACAACGACCGAAACACACAGCCAGGGCAACTAAGGAGTGGCTCCGTAAGAAGCATCTCAAGGTCCTGGAGTGGCCTAGCCAGTCTCCAGACCTGAACCCAATAGAAAATCTTTGGAGGCAGCTGAAAGTCTGTATTGCCCAGCAACAGCCCCGAAACCTGAAGGATCTGGAGAAGGTCTGTATGGAGGAGTGGGCCGAAATCCCTGCTGCAGTGTGTGCAAACCTGGTCAAGACCTACAGGAAACGTATTATCTCTGTAATTGCAAACAAAGGTTTCTGTACCAAATATTAAGTTCTGCTTTTCTGATGTATCAAATACTTATGTCATGCAATAAAATGCAAATGAATTACTTAAAAATCATACAATTTGATTTTCTGGATTTTTGTTTTCCGTCTCTCACAGTTGAAGTGTACCTATGATACAAATTACAGACCTCTACATGCTTTGTAAGTAGGAAAACCTGCAAAATCGGGAGTGTATCAAATACTTGTTCTCCTCACTGTATATATATATACAGTTGAAGTCGGAAGTTTACATACACTTAGGTTGGAGTCATTAAAACTCGTTTTTCAACCACTCCACAAATTTCTTGTTAACAAACTATAGTTTTGGCAAGTCAGTTAGGACATCTACTTTGTGCATGATACAAGTAATTTTTCCAACAATTGTTTTCAGACAGATTATTTCACTTATAATTCACTGTATCACAATTCCAGTGGGTCAGAAGTTTACATGCACTAAGTTGACTATGCCTTTAAACAGCTTGGAAAATTATCAGAAAATGATGTCATGGCTTTAGAAGCTTCTGATAGGCTAATTGACATAATTTGAGTCAATTGGAGGTGTACCTGTGTATGTATTTCAAGCCTACCTTCAAACTCAGTGCCTCTTTCCTTGACATCATGTGAAAATCAAAAGAAATCAGCCAAGACCTCAGAAAAAAACATTGTAGACCTCCACAAGTCTGGTTCATCCTTGGGAGCAATTTCCAAACGCCTGAAGGTACCACGTTCATCTCTACAAACAATAGTACGCAAGTATAAACACCATAGGACCACACAGCCGTCATACCGCTCAGGAAGGAGACACGTTCTGTCTCCTAGAGATTAACGTACTGTGGTGCGAAAAGTGCAAATCAATCCCAGAACAACAGCAAAGGACCTTGTGAAGATGCTGGAGGAAACAGGTACAAAAGTATCTATATCCACAGTAAAACGAGTCCTATATCGACATAACCTGAAAGGCCGCTCAGCAAGGAAGAAGCCACTGCTCCAAAACCGCCATAAAAAAGCCAGACTACGGTTTGCAACTCCACATGGGGACAAAGATCGTACTTTTTGGAGAAATGTCCTCTGGTCTGAAGAAACAAAAATAGATATGTTTGGCCATAATGACCATTGTTATGTTTGGAGGAAAAAGGGGGTGCT